GGCCGTGACAAGGACTAAAATAAAATTAAACAAACACCTCTCAATTTTAATACTCTCTCCGTCTCATAACATAGTACTCTCTCCGTCTCAAAATTAACTATTATTTGTTTTTTGCACGTAGTTTTAGAAATATTAGTATTATATTGGGATATAGTAGGAATAAAGTAGAAATGACTAAAATAATCTTATTAGTACGTGTGATATAGAGGTAATGACATTTGTGTAATATATTGTAAGTTGTAAGGGTATTTGTAATGTTAGAGTACAGTTACTAAAAAAAGAAATGGATACTTTGTTATGGGATGGACTAAAATGGAAAAATGGATACTTTGTTATGGGACGGAGGGAGTATTTATTTTTTTCATTTTAGTCTGTCCCATAACAAAGTATTCATTTTTTTTTAGTAACTGTACTATCTATCTAATAGTACAAATACCCTAACAACTTACAATATATTACACAAATGTTATTACTTTTATATCACACAATACGAATAAGATTATTTAAGTCATTTTTACTTTATTCATACTATATCCCAATATAATACTAATATTTCTAAAACTTCGTGCGAAAAGCAAACAAATACATAATTATGAGAGAGTAAATACTTTTCCCTGTGTAAAGTAGCTAAGCTAATCATTTACGTTTTATATAAAAAAAATTTATATACAAAATTATTATCATCATTTATATGAAATATCATATTAAAAATAATTTCGATCAAACCCAAAATAAAAGAATAATAATTTTCATTAATCTAAAATTATTATTTTGACAGGCTAAGAATGTTTCCACATATCATGTTTAATTTGTATCATTTTTTTGAAAAGATTTGATTAATAATAAAATAATTTAAAATTTTAAAAATAAGTATAACATTCAAAATAATTTATTAAATATTTATTTATTACCAATTCTATTTGTTATTGGAAGTTCAGTACGGTTAGTTAGAACGAATTGTTGTTTGGTTGATGGTCAAACTATGATGTAATATATATTTACAAAAAAAAAATAAAAATAAAAATAAAATAAATACTCTCTTTCTTTTTTTAAAAAAATTTATAATATAAATACATAATCAACATTGAAAAATACGAAGATTTAATTTTATATAATTACATTTATTTATTTAAGAAATATATATATACTCTGTTTCATATCCAGATATTTATTTATTTTTTTTGCACGAAATTTTAGAAATATTAGTATTATATTGGAATGTAATAAGAATGAAGTATAAATGACTAAAATAACCTTATTAGTTATTAGTATTGTGTGATATAAAAATAATAACATTTGTGTAATATATTGTAAATTGTAAGGATATTTGTAATGTTAGGTAAATAGTACAATTATTAAAAAAAAAATTGATACTTTATTATGAGACGAACTAAAATGAAAAAATAGATATTCTATTATGGGACGAAGTGAATATATATATAGTATTATAAATAGGTCTATATTGAAATTTTATATATATAAAAAAAATTACTCCATTTAAGATGAATAAAAAAAAACTAGTGTGTCTAAAATTAAATATAATAATAATACTCCATCCGTCCCATGTAATATGGATGTATTACTGTAGACATGGAAATTTAGGTAAAGTATAATTAATAAGTAATTAAAAATATATTAATAAAAATCATTATTATTTAGTAAAAATAATTATAGATTAAAATTAAAATAAGTAAATAGTTTAATTAAAATTAAAGAAATTATAAAATTTAAAATTTAAATTGCGATTAAAGTGCATAATTATATTTTCAAAAATAAAAAAGACAAATTATGTGGACAAACAAAAATAGAAAATAAGGACAAATTATGTGAGACGGAGGAGATGAAGTAATAACAATAATAATAATTGTATTCCCTAAGGGAGATGCAAACAAAGTACTAACTACTGAGGGGAGTGGTTGATTGCCTTTATTGTGATTTATTTTTGGGTTTTTGGAACTGTCCATCAATATTTATATTTATATTTATATTATTAAATTAAATTAAATTAAAAATAATAATTGTGGGCCATCACTTACATCATATTGAAGAGTAATCCGCTGCCTACCCTACAACATATGTTTCAATATTTTATGCAAACCTAAAATTATACCTAATATATATCTATAGGGCTACCGTAATTTTTTGCTCTTTTTTCTTTTATATTATTTTATTTTTATTAGATAATATAAATAATCGTCTCGCATATAAAAATTTAAGCGGTAAGTAACACGTAAATGATTAATTCACCTAAAAATATAAATTATTAAGAATATAAATTATTTATTTATTTATTTATAAACGGGTATCAAGTAATCTGATCATAAATATCATCTAACATAGTATCAGAATTATAGATCTCGTCTTCGAATTCCACCACCCTAATTGTCGTCATTCACGTGCAAATTTCGTATGATAGCAGTCATTTATACTATCTAACATTTTTTAATGCAAAATTGAATGTGTGTTTGATTTTAAATTCAAATAAATAATGCTCATTTCGCCATGTAAAAATATGTTCATTTGATCTGAATATTAATTTTAATATAATGTGTTTTTTTTTTTATAATAAAAAAATAGAAATTTTGGTTAAAAATGATAACTAATAGTAAAAAATAGAGAAATTGACACGTATTTTTTTATAACAAACAAATAAGAAAAAATGTGCATTTTTTTTTTATTATATATGGAATAATATTCAATACAAAATCTCATAAAAATATATGCTATTCGTCTCAATTCAATATCCTATTTTGTTTTTACGGTAAATTAATACTATTATATAATAATATTTTATTAGTTAGCAAATATATATATAAAATAATTTTGACATTTTTACTATTAAAAATAAAAATATATATACTATAAAGAATTATGAATATTTTGATATTTTATATATAATTATTTTCATTATAATTGAAAATTGATAATTTTTTTAATGAAACTGACGATAATGATAAAAAACGTACATTGAGTATGGAATAATTTTTTTTATATTTTTAATTAAAATATTATTTGAATTAAAGTTTAAATGTTTAAATAAAAAAAATTAATTCGAAATCAAAGTCAAATAATATTTTAATAATAATTTATGGTATTTTTTCCTTTATGTAAAATAGTACTATTATTTTATCTTATGTTCTAATATGATATGATAGTAGCTTGTGCTATACAAAGACTATTTTGCTTTTATATTCTAATATAATGGGATAATATTTTGTGGTACTTTTGTATATAAAAATATTTTTTTTTCTTAATTTTTAATCAGTACATCATATAATAAATACTCTATTGTGTTTATTATATTATTTTATTTATTACATGAATTTTTTTTTGTGTTAATATAATATTTGTATAAAATATTCTCATTGTTCAAAATTGATAGTTGGTTATAAATTAAAATTTAAATTACGTCAGTTTTATACAAATAAAAAAATAAAAAATATTTTAAATAATTTTTTGAATAAAATAAAAAATAAATACTTGATCAATTATTTATTTTTATAGTTTTAAAGAATTAAGATAACAATTTGTCTAAAAAAAAACTGTAAAATAAATGATTAATCAATTATGTATTTATTTATTTATTTTATTGAAAAAAAAAACTATTTAAGATATATGATCTATTTTATTTGTATAAAAATTGCATTATTGAATTTATATTTACAATCAAATATCAATTTTGGACGAAAATAGTGTTTTATGCAAATTTTACATTAAAACAAGACAATTTCACGCAATAAATAAAATATTGGATGTTTTATGTATTTTATTAAAATACAATGGAGTGTTATATAATTTAGCAAATTTTAATTTGATGTAATATTAATGTAAATAGGTGTAAATTCGAAGGGTGCGTTTGTTTTTGCGTTTTGGGTTAAATAGGTAATATTAAAATAATGAATATATGTATGTATTAATTATTTTTAAAAAATGTGTTAGAATTTTTTTTTAAAATTTCAACACCCAAGTATTTGTACTGCGTAATGTGATCCACCAATACTAAAAAAATAAATAATTTTTTTTTTTCTCCAGGCTATATTAAATGTGGAGATTAATTTTAGGGGTATATTAATTTTCTAAATTCATAAACAATGTTATTCATTAGTATTATAAGGCACTAATTGAAGTATTTTTATAATTTTTTTTTTTAAATTTATACTATGTTTTGATATAATAATTAATACTCTCTCCGTCCAGCTAGAAAGTATACATATTTCTATTTTGGGACGTCCAATTACAAAATAAATATTTAATTAAATACCTTATTTTTTTTCACAAATACCCATACTTTACATCACATCATTACTTTTACATAAAAAAACAAGGTAAAAATGGCATTATACTATTTTTAACTACCCATTATAATTAAAATACTTTTATTTCTTAAACATCACGCCAAAAGCAAATGTATATTTTGTGTGTGGACGGAGGGAGTATTAAAAAATAAATAAGCAAAAATTAAATGAGACTTTTAGAATCGGACGAATGTAGTATTAATTTGTGCTCGAAATCATAAAAAATAAAAAGAAAAAAAGAACTATGAATATATAAATGGTTGTGATATATTTGTAAATAAAGTATAATATTGTCTAGTAATAAATTAAAAAATATGTACAAATTATTTATTAATCGACAAAAGATAGTAATGCATATGATTGTTTTATTAAATTAAATAAGGTCTAATGTAAAAACCAAAGAAAAAAAAGAAAAAAAAAGACACTTGGTAGTATGGAATAATTAATAATAATTGAAATTTTATTACTATTATTTTTTTTTAAAGTTAGCATGTCCTTCGTTGAAAAATACGTGGCACCATTAGTGGACACGTGTTCAAATTCTAGTGGATTGGGTTTCAAGACCACAAAATTGGGCCGCAGAGGATCATAGCCCGGATTTGAAACTTATCATTGCCACGTAAGAAGACACGTGGCGGGTATGTCCATGTCAGCAAGGAAGGTTTCTATATAAACCCAACACCCATTTTAAGGTCGCATACAGCCAAAAACCATTTAAAAAAAAAAGAAAGAAAGGAATCAAAGAGAGAGAGAAAAAGAAAAAAAAAAAAAAAAGTTGAAAACTCTGCGCCAAGTAACATCTAGTCGTCGGCGATGGAAACTCGCCGGAAAATGAGATTTCCGGCTTCATTCACCTACAAGTACAATGCTCCTGTCTCGTTTCATCATCGTCATGTTTTCCACGAAAAGCCATAACCGGAAGCTGAAAATATCTCTTTCGTTTTCGTTTTTTTTGCGGATGGAAAGCGAGTGCTTTGTCCTGTTCTTATTTTTGTGAGTAAATATTGGTGTTGATCTATGGTGTTAATGAGTAGGTTTTGGTTATCGGATTATTTGAGGTTGGATTAACGAGTGGGGAACCGTGGGCGATATTTTGAATTGACTGATTTGGCTAGCTTTTGGTTTCTGGAATTGAAGTCTCTGGAGAATTGTTTTTGTCAAATGTTCTGTAAAGTTGCTTTCTAGAAGCTCCGATTTGATGTTCAGACTGTATAGGGGAAGGAAGAGCAGTTAGGTCTGACTGTAGAGTGTTTTTGGTTGGAAAAATGCCTTTTCCGATGAGAATCCAGCCGGTCGATTCAATTCGGAGCGATGTTGCTAAACCGCCGGTGTTGAAATCTCGGCTGAAGCGGCTGTTTGACCGTCCGTTCAACGGCGTGCTAAGGATTGCATCTGCGGAGAAGGCTGCCGCCGGCGAAAAGGACGGCGGCGCCGGTGCGGTGCCGGAATTTGAACCAAGCACTGTTTGTTTAGATAAAATGGTTCAGAATTTCATCGAAGACAACAACAACGAGAAGAAATGCGGCCGGAATCGCTGTAATTGCTTCAACGGTAACAGCAACGACAGTTCCGACGACGAACTTGATTTCTTCTCCGACTCGCTATCCGCTAATTCTTCGTTCAGCGATCCCTCGGACTCGCTCAAGGTGAGAAATCTCCTGATTTGTTCGACTAATTTTGTGTTCTTCTCCGCACTTGTTCTTCGTCTCTAATCCGAACCTCTCACTATCTGTAGGCTTTGATTCCTTGCGCGAGCGTCGCAGAGAGAAATTTATTGGCAGATGCATCGAAAATCGTTGAGAAGAACAACAAAACTTGCAAAAGGAAAGACGATTTGAGGAAATTGGTCACCGACGGCTTAGTTGCGCTCAGTCATAACGCTTCACTCTGCAAATCCAAATGGGAAAAATCATCCTCCATTCCAGCAGGTAACTCTAAATCTCATTCTGTTCCAGCCTTCATTCTCCGAATCTCTGAAAATTTCTACAGTTCTTCGAATTTCAAAAAACGAGTTATATCTTCCGATTCGGTGGTTCTGGAATCATCTAGAACCACTCGAATCAGTTTCGATCGATTGATTAATCGAAACTCAAATTTCCTAAAATGAAATCTAAATTCTCCCCATCCTTCAGGCGAGTACGAGTACATCGACGTCCTAATAGACGGCGAGCGTATCTTAATCGACGTAGATTTCCGATCGGAGTTCGAAATCGCCCGATCGACGAGCAGCTACAAGGCGATTCTCCAACAGCTCCCCTACCTCTTCGTCGGAAAATCCGACCGCCTCCTCCAGATCGTCTCCATAGCCTCCGACGCCGCCCGTCTCAGCCTGAAGAAGAAAGGAATGCACATTCCGCCATGGCGGAAAATCGAGTACCTCAAATCCAAATGGCTCGGCCCCCATACCCGCATCTCGCCGCCCAAATCCTCCGACCCTACCCGAGAACCCGAACCCGACACCCTCGAATACGAAGTCGGCGAATTGAACCTGATCTTCGGCGAGGATTCAGCTTCAACAGACGAGGCGAAATCGCCGGCGAAAGATCCTCCGCCGGAGATGACGTGGCAGCTGCCGGCGGTGAAACCGAAGAGTTTCGACCGGGGAAATAAACCGGTCGTCACCGGCTTGGCCTCTCTACTCAGAGAGAAGCTCTAAATAATTTTGGCTTTCCCATTTTGCCCCTACGAGTAATTTTTTTAAATCAAAACAAAAAACAAATATATATATATATATATATATAAATAGATAAAAGAAAACGGTCCAGAATTAAATCAGAGGTATGATTATCTTCAGTGGAGAGAAATTTTGTAAATTTAAAATTTTCCTTTTTGTTATTCCCCTTATCTTTTTCACAGAAGGGTTTTTTATGTAAAAAAATCACCCCCACCCTAAAATAAATAAATCCCTTTTTGTAATTTAATAATTTATAACAGTGTGTTTATGATATCATATCCAGTTGTTTCCTGGTATGGAAACACAAGGGATATATTGCAAGCATTTTGAGGTCTTGGTGTGATTAAAATCCATAGGAAAAAGTGTCCTAAACTTTAAAAAATGTAGAGAGAGACAAAGAGGAGTGAGAAGGGTCTCGTGCCATATGGGAAAGCGTGAAGAGGAGGCAAAGAGTCGAGGTAAGTGTCATTACAATAATGTGATATTCTCTCTTTTTTTTTTTTTCTTTTTTTTTTTTCTTTTTTTTTTTTTTTCAGATTTTGGGATTGAATATTTGAGTAGTAAAAAATAATTTGAATAATTGTTTGATGTGATATAAATAAATATTAATATAATAAAAAAAATTATTTGATATAATACTTTTTCAAGAAAAAAAAAATCTAAATAGCAAAAATTTATAATAAAATTTAAAAAAAACACATAAAAATAATATTTAAATATGATATTTTATTAAAAAAATCGTAATATATATATTTTTTAATTAAAATCTGTATAGGCCGAATAATATTAATGTTGATTTAAAATAATAATCAAATAACAAATCCAAATTATTTTATACTCTCTGTCTAATACTTCCCTCCGTCCCAAAAGATTTATCTTGTTTTTTCATTTTCGTCCATTTCAAAATAATTGTCTTGTTTTTTTATTTAGTAGCCGTGGTCTCTACTTTATAACAAAATTATTCCTACTTTTTCATACTACCCCTAATTATTATTCTAACATACTCTTTAAAATCCTTCAAAAAGCAAGGGCATTTTAGTCATTTATATTCTACTTTATATCCACTTTCAATTAAATATTATTATTCTTTATATTCTACTTTATACACTTCTTTTGGGCCGGTAGGAGTATAAAATATTTATTACTCCTATTTTTATATTTTGATTCGTCTATAGTTTCTTATTTTTTCTAATACAATTATATATTTTAATTATATTTTAAATTTAATAATTTATAATATTAATTAAATTATTTAATTATTTTAACTTCAATTTATAATTATCTATGTTATATTATATTTATTTTTATTAGTATATTTATTAATTATTTATTTCATCTCAATTCAAAGTATTTTTTTAATTTTATAAAAAAAATAGTATCTTCTTTTTATTTTATAAACAAATATTTTTTTCTTTTTTAAAAAAAGTAATTATACATTAATATTAAAATATTTTTAATATTTATTTAAATTATATTTTTATTTATGTAATTATTTTATACATAAAATCAAATGACAAAAATATAAAAAAAAATCAATTATATATTTTGATTAATCAATAAAATATAAATTATTTTTACTAAAAAAAATTTTAAAAAAGTTAATTAAATTAAGACGAAAAGAGTATAATTTTTTAAAATTTTTATATTTAATATAAGACAACACATTTTATGTGAACAGATAAATTATTATTTTATTTATTATGAGGTATGGTTTTTGCCAAATGTCAGATCTTTCTTTCTTTATTCTATTTTCTACTTCGGAGTTGGGAATGAATTGCTTACCCTACCACACCTTCCGTCACATTTGCATGTCTCACTTTTGGAATTTACCATTAATTGGGTTATTATTATTATTATTATTTTAAATTTTATTTTATACTCCCTCCGTTTAACGTTATAGTCTGAGTTGTGTTTAGCACAAGATTTAAATAATATTAATATTATATTGGTAATGGGTAAAAAGTACAGGTAAAATACTTTTTTGTCATTGTGCAGATTTAAATAATATTGATATTATATTGGTAGTGGGTAAAAAGTACAGGTAAAAGATTTTTTTGTCCTTGTGAATATATTAGTATAAAAAGTAGTAACAATTGTGTAATAATAATGAAAAAGTAAGGGTAATTTTATTGTGATATGATTATTTATAAAAATGAGACTATTATTTTAGGATGAACAAAAATGATAAACAAGACTATTATATTAAGACAATAGTATTTTTTATTTGGTGAAGTTTGTGTTACTTTTTTTTTTTTTGGTAATTGTGTGATGTGTGTGTTAATTTTTGAGGTGTGATTTTCACTCCACGTGGTTAAACTTTCAATAACGTGTCTCCAACATTTGTTACTACTATAACCCAACTAAAATACTCCTTCACTCGTTTCTAAAGTCTCATTTATTTTATTTTTTTTCATTGTATTTAATATTAAAAATTATTTTTATATTTATATAATTTTTTTGTATAAATATTATTATAATAGTAATTTAAGATACTAACTAATAGAAGTATTTTTTTCAATTTTTCTTGATTAATACTCCCTCCGTCCCAGATATCGTGTCTGCTACACTGTAGACAAGTGTAGACACGGTATTTTAGGAGGGGTATAATTAGTAGATGATTAAGAATGTATTAGTGAAAATAATTATCCTATAATATAAATAATTATAAATTAAGATTAAGATAACTAATTAGTCTAATTAAAATTAAAAAAAATAAAAAATTTTAAAATGAAATTAAAGTGTGTAATCATTTTCCAATAAAGAAAAGTGACATGGTATATGGGACGGACAGAAACGACAACGTGGACATGGTATCTGGGACGGAGGGAGTACTAAATTTTCATAAAATAATTAATGTTCAAAGATCTTAAAAAATAAATAGAACTCTTAGAGCCGGACAGAGGAATATATTTGTAAACAAACAAGATGTGTTTAGATATATTTTGAATTTTTTTAAAAAAAAATAAAAATAAAAATAATACTTTAAATAAAAAAATAAAATAAAATTGCGGATATATAAATAGATACAACTAGACGTGATTTGTGTTATGCACAACATAATTATTATTTCTGTATAATAATATATACTCACCCATGTTACAAACAGGCTGCAATATGTTTTTTTGTTTATTACAAATTTTTGCAATAATTTTAAAATAAGAAATAATTTAAAATATTTAATTTTAATGAATATTTTGTCTCATCACATCACCTAAATAAAATATATATATTTGTTTTCTTGGTTATATAAAATAATTATCAAATTATCTTATTTAATATTATCTACTTAAATTTTCGTGTCGAATTCAAACATTGAGCAAAATTTGGAGGAAAATGAATATTACACCATTCGTCGTCAAAATATATACTCATTTGACTGGACATACATTTTAACAAAACTGGTAAAAATAAAAATATTATTTTGAAAGGTAAAAAAAAATAGAAAAGAAGTATTTTTTTTACTGAAAAAATAAATGAAAATAAATTTAGATTGACAACTAAAAAAATAAAAATAAATTTAAATTGCAGATTAAGTAATTATTTTTTTAAAAAATAATATAAAGAAAAATGAGATAAAAGCTTTCACTCAATAATTTATTTATAATATTCCCGTCCCGGTGAAAAGTTATTGTTTACTTTTTGCACGTAGATTTTTGAATATTAGTATTATAATAGGTTATAGTGAAAAGGACGAAAATGCCCCTATAACTATTGTGTAATATAAAAATAATGATATTTTGTAATATAGTGTAAGTTTGAAAGGTATTTATTATGTTAGGTAGGTAGTACAATTACTAAATTAGGAAATAGTAACCTTGTTTTGAGACGGACGAAAATGAAAAATGACAACTTTTCAATGGGACAGAGGAAATACAATTTTTAATAATTATTAAAAAACACAGAATCACACAATATATAATATTATATTAATTCATCAGAAAATAATATTACTTTTTTCGTCCATTAAATTAGCTCATTTAGGTTTGACACAAGAATTAAAAAAATGAATATTTTATTAAAAAAAGTGATAGGTAGTCGAGGGTATTTTTGAAAATTTAATTAAAAAGTAAAGTAATTGAAGGGAGATCATGTAATAAAGTTAGTAAGCTTTGTTGTAAATAAGTGTTGCATATAGAGAAATAATTAAATGTTAATTTGTTAAATTTGCAAAAATTAGTAATGAAATAAATTTAATAGAAATACTAAAAAGAAAAATGATAATAAATTCAGTGGACGGAAGGATTATTTTTTTATATTATCTTTTCGTACTTAAAAAAAACAAAAAAAAAAAACTAATACATCTAAAAACAAGAATTTATTTTTTGTGATTTTAAAATAAAATAATCATTATTCGCTATGTATAATTTTATAAAAATATAATATATTTTTATAAAATTAGTAATAAGATAAATTTAGGAGATAGACTAAAAAGAAAAATAAAAATAAATTTGGTGGACGTTGAAATTATTTTTTTTATATTATCTTTTCATACTTAAAAAAAAAGAAAAAAAAAATCCTAATATATCTAAAAACAAGATCACAAGTTGATTTACTTTTTGTGATTTTATAATAAAATAATAATTATTCGCTATGTATAATTTTATAAAAATATAATATTGCTTTTTACAAAATATTACATTTAAATACTAATTACAAAAGAATTAAAATCACAATCAAACAAATAATTACTTTAAAATTGTATATACCATAATAATAAATTAATAATTTATACTTTCTCCGTTTCGTTTCGTGTAATTTATTCATATTTTTCATTTGTGTAATTTATTTATATTTTTCACTTTTTAATTGTTTCGTATAATTTGTTTGTATTTTTATTTTTATAATATTTAAATTATTTACTAATTATACATTTATCTAAGTTTTCGAATTTAAAAAACCGGAAAATTAAAATTGTATGAAGAAGTATGACATTGAAATAATTAGAAAATTCACATTATTATATTATTATAAAAAAATAATAAAACTACATAATTTTAATATAAAAACTCTAAAAATCAAATTCTCGGTGTATTTCCTTATAATAATATTTGATGGAATATTTTGTAAGAAAAAAAATATTTTTTCTTGCTATGTAACTAAGTATCATTTTACTGTTTATGTGTTGATGTTTGAATATTAATTATTATATCAAACGTATTACAAATTAAGAGAAAATGACAAAAATACTTATATTATTATCTTATAATACTAATATAATGACATTTGTACAAAAAATTATAAAAAATATAAAAATATTTTTAATATTAAATATAATA